AGGACAAATCCAATCTATTTTCTCCTGTTACAAGATGAATGCTTTTTCATTACCTAGATTTATGGGTAATTTCTTGAGTTTATAGGGTGTTAGGGCTCGTGGGTGTTTTCTTAAGGTTATAGGGTGTTTTCTTAGGGCTTTTGGGTGTTTTCTTAAGGTTATAGGGTGTTTTCTTAGGGCTTTTGGGTGTTTTCTTAGGGTTTGTGGGTGTTTTCTTAGGGTTTGTGGGTGTTTCTTAGGGCTTTTGGGTGTTTTCTTAGGGTTTGTGGGTGTTTTCTTAGGGCTTTTGGGTGTTTTCTTAGGGCTTTTGGGTGTTTTCTTAGGGTTTGTGGGTGTTTTCTTAGGGTTTGTGGGTGTTTTCTTAGGGTTTGTGGGTGTTTTCTTAGGGCTTTTGGGTGTTTTCTTAGGGTTTGTGGGTGTTTCTTAGGGCTTTTGGGTGTTTTCTTAGGGTTTGTGGGTGTTTTCTTAGGGCTTCTGGGTATTTTCTTAGGGCTTTTGGGTATTTTCTTAGGGCTTCTGGGTATTTTCTTAGGGCTTCTGGGTATTTTCTTAGGGCTTCTGGGTATTTTCTTAGGGCTTCTGGGTATTTTCTTAGGGCTTTTGGGTATTTTCTTAGGGCTTCTGGGTATTTTGTTCAGGCGCTCCACAAGGGGAATATATGACGATCATGTAAGGGTTTAAACCCTCAGGTGGGGACTTGTTCGGTACTTCTAAGATCCTTACTGTGAGTAGCTATGGTGTGGTTAGTACGACGACAGTTTCTAACTTTTCAGGCTAGAGTTCGAGCCCCCAATGAATCGAGGGAATGAAACGATAGGACTTTTATCATTCACCCTGTGGGGCATCCTTGAAGACAGCATCACCCTGAAGAATATGCATTCTTAGGAGGTTTTTCATCTGGTATTTGCCAGGGTAGTTCTAATCTCCCTGAGGGCATAATGAAGTCTTACATCGTTAGACAATCACGTCTTACGTGATTGGCTGTTTCACACAGAAGTCGCAATTGTGTGATGTATCAAAACCATGTCTTATCTGGGATGCTCCTCTCGGACGCAGGTTCGAATCCTCATCACGGCCCTTGTGGATTTGACTGGCTGTTCCTTCACTGGTGTGTTCCACTGGCACCGTGCCCTTCACTAGTGTCTGGACAATCTTAAACACACTTGGAGAGTGTGTTTAAGACGCCAAGCAGCTGGCAGGGGGTACGGCATGTTGTAAATTTGACAGGAGTTTAGTGCCAGTTCCTGCATGATGGGAGTGGGGGAGGATATATATATATATATATATATATATAATATATATATATATATATATATATATATATATATATATATATACATGAAGGTACATTGGGATTGTGAGGATACATAGTGTAGTAATTACAATCTTGTAAAGCCACTTGTACGCGCAGCGTTTCGGGCAGAAACCAGACCAGAGGTTTCAGACCTCAGAAACCAGACCAGAGGTTTCAGACCTCAGAAAGCAAACCAGAGGTTTCAGACCTCAGAAACCAGACCAGAGGTTTCAGACCTTAGAAACCAGACCAGAGGTTTCAGACCTCAGAAACTAGACCAGAGGTTTCAGACTTTAGAAACCAGACCAGACTATATACACCAGAGTCCTATATAACCCGGCTTTTTACCACATAACTCAGCTGCTAAGTACACAGTTGTAAGCTTTCTCCAGCTTTCTCCAGCTTTACCACAGCTTACTATCACGAGAGACATGATGTCTTAACTATAGTCAAAACTCGTATCTTTACACAGGAGGATACAGATGACTTTTCACTTCTATTAGCAAGTTTTTTTTCCTTTTCTTGCCTATTAGTTTCCCCATCCCCCCTGGAACCCGACCCGCCAGTTAGTTAACAACCAGGTGCCCAATTACTGCTGGCTGAATAGAGAGCAAACAGTTCAGAACTGACACCTAGTCAATCCTCCCCCGGGCCAGGACTCGAACCCCGGATCATAGAGTGTGTTAACACCGCACCACCAACAGGGGTAATTAGCCTCAGGCTTATTGTAGGACGACTGATTCCCGTCTCGAGTCTAATTAGCCCTCAACTAATTAGCCCTCAGGGTCACTGGGGGGGACTGTGTCTCTTCATCTTCCCTTTGAACCTCTTGATCAAGCCCTGAACCCTTAATGAGTCGAAGGTATCACGACTCAACCCTAAATTATGTTTCGTTCCTCCTAATTAACCCCCCTAAGGTTAATTAATGACTCCCCCGCCAAACACATACCGAAACTACGACGTTGGTACAACGTTCGAAACAAGTTTTTAACCCCTCCTAACCACTTATAACAACCAATATAGCACGTTGTAACAACGTTCTAATACGTCATAAACACGGTAAGCCAAGAGGTAACAACTTTATTACAAGTTGTAACAAGCGGAAAATAGAGACAATTACGGTTTGTGTTTCCAGGGGATATAATGACCCAGCCACCCCCCCCCCTCTCCCCCCTCGAGGGTCACGTGACATTCGAGCCCCTCATTTGACCCTAATGACAAAACCATCAGAATGAAGAAGTCTTCACGAGAAGTAGGCAGCTTTCCTCAGAGAACGAAAGCGACATATGTGTAGTTTTAAGGTTATACTAATGTCAGAAAAGGGATTGACTAGGCAGTCTTTGCGTCACCACTGATTAATATCGTCAGTCCTTGCGTCACTACTGATTAATATCGTCATCTCTTGCGTCACCACTGATCAATAGCGTCACTCCTTGCGTCAGCACCTATCTTTTTCAATGCTAAATTCCAGTGATCGCTTGGCTTATCTTTAACCTTTTACTAGAAGCGAGGAGGTGACCTGTATGATAAAAACACACACACACACACACACACACACACACACACACACACACACACACACACACACACACACACACACACACAGCTCAGAAGGTTACATGCCTCCAGCAATGATCTTCACTACTTACCATAACACCAGAGACTTGTGTGTCTTGGTGGCTGGAATATGTTAAACAGACCCCACCCAGCATATCCACACACACACACACACTCACACACACACACACACTCACACACACACACACACACACACACACACACACACACACACACACACACACACACACACACACACACACACACACACACACACACGCACACACACGCACGCACACACACACTCTCACACACACACACACACACAGACCTGTTGATTGACGGTTGAGAGGCGGGACCAAAGAGCCAGAGCTCAACCCCCGCAAACACAACTAGGTGAGTACACACACACACACACACGCTTGGATATACACACTACATATGTACATAGCGTGTACTTTTGAAATATAGGATCAAAATCAATAACAAAAAACACAATACTTCTTTTCTTTTTTTGATTGTATGTCTCGTCATTGTATACTGCATTGTATTTTATGTATTCGGATGTATAAGTTACAAGGATAAATTGCCTATTATTACTTAATCTGATTATATGACAAATACGGCCTAATTTGTGCTGCTATCCTGACTGTGGGTTATTTCATTATCCATACTGCGAGTTATCGTACTATCCATGCTGTAGACTACCGTACTATCCATGCTGTAAACTACCGTACTATCCATGCTGTAAACTACCGTACTATCCATGGCTGTAGACTACCGTACTATCCATGCTGTAGATTACCGTACTATCCATGGCTGTAGACTACCGTACTATCCATGCTGTAGACTACCGTACTATCCATGCTGTAGACTACCGTACTATCCATGGCTGTAGACTACCGTACTATCCATGCTGTAAACTACCGTACTATCCATGGCTGTAGATTATCGTACTATCCATGGCTGTAGATTATCGTACTATCCATGCTGTAAACTACCGTACTATCCATGCTGTAAACTACCGTACTATCCATGGCTGTAGATTATCGTACTATCCATTCTATAGATTACCGTACTATCCATGGCTGTAGATTATCGTACTATCCATGCTATAGATTACCGTACTATCCATGGCTGTAGACTACCGTACTATCCATGCTGTAAACTACCGTACTATCCATGGCTGTAGATTATCGTACTATCCATGGCTGTAGATTATCGTACTATCCATGCTGTAAACTACCGTACTATCCATGCTGTAAACTACCGTACTATCCATGCTGTAAACTACCGTACTATCCATGGCTGTAGATTATCGTACTATCCATTCTATAGATTACCGTACTATCCATGGCTGTAGATTATCGTACTATCCATGCTATAGATTACCGTACTATCCATGGCTGTAGATTATCGTACTATCCATGCTGTAAACTACCGTACTATCCATGCTGTAAACTACCGTACTATCCATGACTGTAGATTATCGTACTATCCATGCTATAGATTACCGTACTATCCATGCTGTAGATTACCGTACTATCCATGCTGTAAACTACCGTACTATCCATGGCTGTAGATTATCGTACTATCCATGCTGTAAACTACCGTACTATCCATGCTGTAAACTACCGTACTATCCATGCTGTAAACTACCGTACTATCCATGCTGTAGACTACCGTACTATCCATGCTGTAGACTACCGTACTATCCATGGCTGTAGACTACCGTACTATCCATGCTGTAAACTACCGTACAATCCATGCTATAGATTACCGTACTATCCATGGCTGTAGATTATCGTACTATCCATGCTATAGACTACCGTACTATCCATGGCTGTAGACTACCGTACTATCCATGCTGTAAACTACCGTACTATCCATGGCTGTAGATTATCGTACTATCCATGATATAGACTACCGTACTATCCATGCTGTAAACTACCGTACTATCCATGGCTGTAGATTATCGTACTATCCATGCTATAGACTACCGTACTATCCATGCTGTAAACTACCGTACTATCCATGGCTGTAGACTACCGTACTATCCATGCTGTAAACTACCGTACTATCCATGCTGTAAACTACCGTACTATCCATGCTATAGACTACCGTACTATCCATGGCTGTAGACTACCGT